AAGAACATGCATTCCATCTCTCTCCAAATGATTGCAATCGTCTTCACTTCTTTGTGAATTGCTGTGACACTTTTAGACAAGTGTATAGATCTTTGCAGCTTTTATTTTGACAGTGTAGTTAGATACAATTTCCCTTTAAATTGCTGCACATGTATGTCAGAGATAAGTACATGTCTCTGAATCACAATTCAAAAAGCAATGATACTGCACATCTACTGTGGAGGGGAGTAATACATAGCTCTGTGAGACAGTGAGCATTTTGAATTGTTCTGGCTGTTGTAGAATGATTTTGCAGAAATTAGAAGGAAAAGTACTGAAAACGTAGTAGTATTGAGGATTGTTGTATTGTAGAATGGTCATAAAATAATTTGCATAGCATATTAACATATTTCTTTGCATTGTCTGTTGTTCAAGGATATCTAAATAATTTACCATATATACTCGAGTATAAGTCGAGTTTTTCAGAACATTATTTGTGCTGAAAAACCCCCACTCGACTTATACTCGATGTCTGTATTATGGCAACTTACATTGCCATAATACAGACCAGGACCGCCAGGCTCATTACAAGGGTAATGGCTGGAAGAGAGCTGTAACTTACCTTTCCTGCAGCTCCTGTCAGCTCCCTTCTCCTCCACTGTTAGTTTCAAGAGAGCCGCAGGGGCAACGCTCCGCGAGGCAGTCACACCGCGAGACTTACAGTGCAGCTGACAGGGGTGCTGACAGGACCAGAGGAGAAGGGAGCTGTCAGGAGCTGCAGGAAAGGTAAGTAACAGCTCTCTGCCAGCCCCCCTCCTACACAGCCCATCCACTGGACCACCAGGGAATGAGAGCCTCTCTCCCTGGCCAGCTAACAAGCAGGGAGGGGGGATGAAAATAAACAAATACAAATTTAAATAATAATAAAATAAAAATATTAATAATATAAAACAAATTATTAATAATAATAATAATAATAATAATAATTAAAAAAATAATAAAAATGCCCACCCCCCACCAAGGCTCTGAATCACATACACACACTGCATTCATACACACACACACACTGCATTCATACACACACTGCATTCATACAAACACACTGCATTATATACACACACTGCATTCATTATATATACACACTGTAAATAAATATTCAATTAATATAATTTTGGGGGGATATAATTTTATTTAGAAATTTACCAGTAGCTGCTGCATTTCCCACCCTAGTCTTATACTCGAGTCAATAAGTTTTCCCAGTTTTTGGGGTTAAAATTAGGGGTCTCGACTTATATTTGGGTCGACTTATACTCAAGTATATACGGTACATTATGCAAAAGCACACTACACACTTTCTTTTTCATTTATTCACTCTGCCTTTTTAAAAATATTGGGGATAACGTTTTAGAGATTATAAAGTATACCTCATTTTACAATATTTTAGACAGGGTCCATTTTCTAAAGAACAATTTGTGTTAGGTTGGTTTTACAAACCAATTCAGTGACATCAGAATACAGGTTAGAAGAGAATGTTTTTTTTTTTTTAAAGCAAAATCCTTATAATGTTTCTTGTTATTAATAGTTTCTAATCTCTTCTAATGGGCATGTATTTTGTTTCCATTTATATGATTTAAGGAAGATTACTACTGAAAAGTAAAAGCAAATCTTCCATTAATAGGCACCAAGCATTTTATTACAATAGTTAGATGTTGGTTATAAGTTGTTGTTCTGTCTACAAAGAATAAATTAAAAAATATTGTGACAAAAGCCATTTCGCCACTGGGTTTTGGAGGGGACTACTTGCCAGCCTCTTACCCCGTGACTTTAATTTATTGCGGTTGAGAGACCCTAACTGTGCCTGTTGGGACTTTAAACATTGGTTCTTCGAACTCCCGAACAGTCAAAGTGGCCGCCATTCGAACACGTGGTGGCGGCCATCTTGTTCGCATGGACTAAAACCGCGAGTTGACTTCAGGGGGACATAGCCGCGAATGCTCTGGAACTATTTTTGGCATGAAAACCTTGCCGTTGCCAGTCGGTCCTCCAGCAGCACTTAGCCGCGAATCTATGGAACTGTTTTGGGCATGAAATCCTGGGATCGCCTGGGCAAAAATATGACTTCCATAAAATTTCTGAGCCCCTGATCTGATCTAGGTGATTTTTGGATATGTTGTTCTATCAGGGGATGTAACATTTATGGGGATATGTTGTGTTTTGGGGTACTTATGGTACTTTATAAAAATGTGTGTATTTTCTGCCTGTGGATAAAGTTAATGCATTAACTACCTTAATTATATAACAGGCAGAGGGAAGGGATTGTTTACTGTATGTAGGAGTGTCGTTCATTGTTACATTGTTTTTATTGGTCTGTACAGTTTGTAATGCGGTGCTCCATCAGGTCCAGGAGGTGTGCCTCTGGCCTGAGGAATTGTATATAAAGCCAACCTGTACCATTAAACCTTCAGACCTCTTCACCCTCAATACTGAGTGCTGTCTCTTATTGTAAGGAACTGCTATATCACTACCAGGGATTGCTATACTCAGTATACTTCCTTGGATAATCACTAGCTCTTGTAAGAGCTGTTCCTGATACGCTCTCCTGGAGGAGAGGTCTTTCCCACACGGTCCTGGATGTCATGTTGGTCCAGGGTGGGAGGAAGACGGCGAGATTCCAGTGAAGCTACGGCAGTTGTGGAGTCTGCAGTGCTTGTGGTGTCCGGTGCGGTGCTTATAGTTCTCGGCGTCAGCTAGGAAGAACCCGTTGATGGAGGTACCCTGTCGGGGTGCCAGGTGATCCGTTACAAATATAATAATAATAATATAAAAAAATGTGTTGTGTGCCACACACTAACTTAATATAATAAGCCTCAGTGTTTCATGTGCCTCAAATCTCCACTGAAATAAAGGAGATCATACGCATGTGTGTATCATCAATGTGTGTTATGTTTAATAACGTACAGCAAGAACAAAGTCAGTAAAGTTTGACGTTTCAGTATGACATGGGGGTTTCCTTTCATAAAGTTGATTTTGTTTTATTTTAAACTATATAAATTCTTATCTTATCTTTTTTTTTTAGGTTCCCTGAAATAGGAGGAAAATATACAACATGTGGCACAACTCCACTTAATAGTCACAGCTTAACAATGCATTTTGACTCACTGTTAATTTAGAAATTAGATTTTCACATAAAATTATTGTTTATTTATAGTGAAACACTTCACATAAAAATGGGTTGTGCTGATGAAAATTCAAGGTTAATTAGAAAACTGGTTTACATGCCTAACGGACATTAGAGTGTAGAAAGGACATCTGTTACTATTTAGTCATTGTACAAAAATGTGTTCAACAGCTTTTCTCGCAAGCTATTTTTGCAAAGTTTAAAATATTCATATCATATTTATTATTTGTTTTAGTCATTTGTTATTTTTAAATTTTTTCTTTATTCTTTGCTTACTTTTCAAGACAAATGCTGGCTCATTGGCACGATAGCTTAAGCTATTTATATATGCCTGTATTTTATCTGCAAAGACAGAACGGATATAAGTGTGGTATTTATGGGTGTATAAACCATCTAAACTGACCAAAAAAAAGTATCTTGGCTTTCCAGTGATCAATAGAGAACTTAATTATTTGCAGAAAGAAGTCTGGGCAATTAAAGGGATGCTCTCGACCCACTAAATATGAATGTAGTGTTTTGGTGCATAAATCCTGTACCTGCAGTCTGACAAAAGTAAACATTGGCATTTTTGTCATTTGTCATTGCAATGCTTCCGATTAGCTGATTGGCAATCCGACTGGTTGACTGTGTCGATTTCCATGCATATCCATAGAACCACAATTCTTCTCTATGAGAAGCATTCCATTGGTCAAGGATCATCTACTAGCATATCCTCAGAAAAGGATATTTAACAGTGTGTTTGTTGTTACAAGATTTACTAATAAAATGATGTCTTGGTATATAGATATATTTAAATTTCAAAGTAGGGTTATGGGAATGGACATACGTATAACCATTTCAATTTAAACACAGGAGGACCCTGGATAGTGATCGGTATTTAGGTCTGTAATTAAATGACCTGATTAAAATCCATGTGGGATATTAAAATAAAAAATACAGTTTCTATTTTTATGGGTTAGGTGGGATTGTGGCTTAGTAGCGTCTGTCTGAGTCAGATCTCTGCAAAGGCAGAAACGAGTAAAAACAGCTTGACTTTAAAATTCTGGCGTATGCAAGTACCACTTACTTAATTCTCAGCTCATGATGTGCTTTCTGCTAATTTCGCTTCGTCCTTGGCTGATGGCATGTTTTATGCAAAAGTCACCCACTCCATTCTTGGTTTATAACACATTTTTCCCCAAACATTATTCACTCCATTCTCCGGTGATGATACATTAAGATGGCATGTGAGTGATGGTCCTTTTCATCCTGCGAACAGAAGATATTTTAAACAAATATTTTAACAGAGTTTATTCTGAATGCAGTTAAATAATTGCAGCAACTTTTTCCCTCTTCAAGATTTTACCTGCTTTTGCTACAAGAGAAAAATAGGTCCATAGTGTCTTAAGTGGTAGGTTCTTTATTCATGGATTTTTAAATGTCAGTGTCTTTGTAGGTAGTATTTTTAAAGAAAAGCACCACAAGTCAGAAGTGCCCTGGTGCCCAACCTCTCCATTGTAAGGAGTCAAATTGTTTTGAATGAATTGACTTCTTACCTGGTATCCAACAGGCACCACTCCCTGCATCCACTTTCATTGCCGGAGAGTCAACACTGATTACATTGTGGATGCAAGCATGTGCTTTCCCCTCTTTTTGGGACTACATTATAATTTATTTCTAGATGCTTTCCTCTTTGGATCAACAACATGAAACATGCACTAGGAAACATGAAAGGTAGATCTTGATAGACATGTTTTTTTTAAGCCAGCATTACTACTGTATTTTGTTTGTACTTTACTGGGAGTCCTAGCTGTAATTCACTTACAATTTAGGTCATTTCTAACACTTATCCTAACCAGCAGATTGCATGATCCAGCCATAACTTAGGTTCACCCCAGAGCTACATATATTGTTTATTTTACACTGTTTTTTTTTTGTTTTGTTTTGTTTTTTTACATTTTGCAAATTCTTTTTCATTTCTTGTGATCGCGAGGTCCTTGCGAGTACCTCGCGATCACAAGAAATGAAAAAGAATTTGCAAAATGTAAAAAAAAAAAAAAAAACAGTGTACAATATATGTAGCTCTGGGGTGAACCTAAGTTATGGCAGGATCATGCAATCTGCTGGTTAGGATAAGTGTTAGAAATGACCTAAATTGTAAACACATGGCCAAGGGGGGGCCGAAGAGGATGGAGGGGGACTCCCAGGTATGTCCTCATACCGCGATCACCGGCGTGAGATCGCTGGTGACCGGGTAAGTACCCTGGATGGTGGGGACGTGCTATGCCGCCCACCGGCGTTTAGAGCCGGTTCCCTAAGGACGGCATAGCACGCCCGCCATCCTTAAGGGGTTAAACGATAGGCTAGAAGGCTCCTAAATAGCTTAAATTCCCTATCTTTATTGGAGACAAATAAAATAAAACAGGATAGCAAAAAGGGTATATAAAACACTAATGTGTTTCACCTGTTAGCAAGGCTTTTTCAAAGTGTTCACTAACAGGTGAAACGTGCTGGTGTTTTATACAGCCTTTTTGCTATATTGTGTTCACTTTGAAAAAGCCATTCTAACAGGTGAACGCGTTAGTGTTTTATACAGCCTTTTTGCTATTTTGGAGCCTCCCAGCCTATCCTTTTAAACATCACAATTTCATCATCAAGAACTTGAGGACTCGCAAGTGATATCCTAGGTGGGGATTATTCCACCTACACTTCCTATACTGAGCAATATTCCTTTTGCTCACCGCTTGTGAGTATTCCTCCTCTTTTTTGTATCCTAGTTTTATTCCAGACCATACAGAGAACACTATATTGTGCTTTAATTTTTTTCCTCCTACTCACCGAGGATACTGGTTTTGGCACTTTTTGACTCCAGAACACCCTTACCTCCGAAGACGCCTCTGAGAGTGTACCAGGACCATCATAATATCCATAGACGGGGATTGTACTGTCCGGGCGCATATATCTGGAGCTGAATATAAGCTCCAGAAAACTGTAAGTGCAAATTTTTCTTTATTTACAACCATCAGCAATTTAACATACTACACTATATCCGTATCCTCTCCTCTCTCCCCTATATCTCACTGAGCTTGAGAAGACTACCACAGCCCCCCCACCCACTCACAGTCCCCCTACCCACCTCACAGTCCCGCTACCCACCATACAGACCCCATACCATTCACAGTCCCCATAGCCACCATACAGCCCCCTTACCCACTTCCTAAACCCCTACCCACCTCACAGCCCTCCTACCCATTCACAGTCCCCATCCCCACCTTACAGAACCCCTACCCACTCACAGCCCCCCTACCCACCTACAGAACCCCTACCCACCTCACAGTCCCCTACCCACCTCACAGCCCCCCTACCCACCTTTCAGCCCTCCTACCCACCTTATAGCCCTCTACCCACCTTACAGAACCCCTATGCAGTGACTTATGGGGCTGGCATAGATTTTTCTAGGGCTGCTTTGTATCCCCAGTCCAGCCCTGATGGTATGCCTATGACGTAATGCACGCTGTTGCCACTCAGCCTCACAATTAAAATCATTCAGGGAATTGACAGCCGCGAGCTGTGAGGGAGGTTAAAGCAGTGCTCCCGCGCGGCGCAGCGGTAAGCGCCGGCGCCGGCTGCATGTTTTGATTTCAAATTAAAGAAGGCAGGCAGACAGAAGGCAGGCAGACAGAAGGCAGGCAGCGCAGCGAACCATAACTTTAGTTTTAATAGGGGGGGGCACTGCCTGATCTAGGGGGCCATGGCCCCTTCTGCCCCCCCCCCAGCCACCGATTGAATGTTTTAATTTGTCAGTCAGAATACCTTTAGTGGCTATCAATCAGAGGCAATTCTTCATTGAAGATTTTTAATTATTAAAATATTCATTATTGGTGTTGTTGAAGTGAAGGCCATTAATGATTCTCATATAGAATTAAGTGAATTCAATGCTTCTTTGTTAGAAACATCCGAATGGCTCAGGGCAGTGATTGCCTCGCATGTGCCTTAGGGCAGGGCCGGATTAACATAGGGGCTGATGGAGCTGCAGCTCCAGGCCCATAGAATAGGCCCATTGATTTAAAAAAATTTGGGTTTTTTTGTTTGTTTTTTACATACTACTCTTAGGGTTGCCAGGTATTTCTCATGTATTTCTTATGGTTGCCAGGTATTTCTCAGAAGTATTTCTCAGGTATTTGAGGCTGCCTATCCGGTGCATAAACAGAGATTATTCTGCAATACCAGTGCCGGCCAGTATGGGTCGCTGTTACAGGCAGAGATAAGAAGTTACAGCATCTCCCTCCCTGCCTCTCTCTACACACTGATGCGTGAGGGAGCAGCTCTGCACAGAGAGTCCAGACAGCAGCTCCGAGCCTGCGAGACATGGGGACGGTGAGAGACTAGGGGACACTGAGACATTGGGACACTGGGGAACATGGAGACCCTGAGACACTAGGGACAAAGTGTACTCATGTCTCCCAGCCAGTGTTGCTAGTGTCTAAGTGTCCCCATGTCTCTCAGTGTCCCTGGTATCTCTCAGTGTCCCAATGTCTCTAAGTGTCCCCTATTGTCCTAGTGACATCGGACTACTTTGAGACATTGGGACACAAACTCTAAGGGACACTGGGAGACATGGGGATACAAACACTATGGGACACTGGGCGACATGGGGACACTGAGACACTAGGGGACACTGAGAGACATGGGGACACTGAGAGACACTGGGAGACTTGGGGCACTCCCAGTGTCCCTAGTATCTCAGTATCCCAATGTCTCCCAGTGTCCCTGGTGTTTCTTAATGTCCGTAGTGTGCCAGTGTCCCTAGTGTCTCAATGTTTCCTAGTCTCCCAAGGTCCCCTAGTCTCCCAGTATCTCAGTGTCCCAATGTCTCCCAGTGTCGCCATGTCTCCTAGTGCCTTAGTGTCCCCTAGTATAAAATAAAAAAATCTCAGGCACTCACTGTGATAGATTTAAGCAGGTTTATTGGACACCGCAACGTTTCAACCTATACCCATGTCTTTATCGAGTCTCCAGTGTCCCCTGTGTATCACAGTGTCCCCTATGTATCAGAGTGTCTCAGCGCTCCATGTCTCCCAGTGTCCCTGGTGTCTCTCAGTGTCCCCTTGTCTCTCAGTGTCCCCTAGTCTCTCAGTGTCCCCATGTCTCACAGTGCCCCCAAGTGTCTCAGTGTCCTCTAGTATAAAAGAAAAAAATCTCAGGCACTCACTGTGATAGATTTAAGCAGGTTTATTGGACACCACAACGTTTTGACCTGTACCCAGGTTTTTATCAAGTCTACAGTGTCCATCAGTGCCCCATGTCTCCCAGTGTCCCCTCATGTCTCAAAGTCACCCAGTGTCCCCATGTCTCCCAGTTTTCCCAAGAGTCTCAGTGTCCCCTGGTCTCCCAGTGTTCCCTAGTATCTCAGTGTCCCCATATCTCCCAGTGTCCCAATGTCTCTCAATGTTCCTTAGTGTTCTAGTGACATGGGGACACTGGGATACATGGGGACACAGACATGCCCCCTTTTTGTGTATGTTCGCCCCTTTCGGTAGTTCTGGTTACATGATTTGTGTCAGTGGCCCACCCTTTTGCCCCATCCATAGGCTTCCTGCTCTACTGGACACTACTGTTAGGGGTTATGGGTTTACTTGAAAGATGAAAGCGTGAGATTAGCATAGGGTATGTTTTTTCTCATATCTGCATCCTATGAGTTTCCCTCCAGCACCATCTCCATCAGATACATGACGCTTAGGAGGTAGAACTGTTTTAGTGTTTTTGATCAATAAGATTTTGTAATTAGGCCCATCATAATTGTCAGCACCAGGCCCACTGGGCTTTTAATATGGCCCTGTTGGACACCACAACGTTTTGACCTGTATCCAGGTTTTTATCAAGTCTACAGTGTCTATCAGTGCCCCATGTCTCCCACTGGGCTTTTAATATGGCCCTGCCTTAGGGCCCCAATCTTTGTCTCTGAGAAGCATCAGTAATGACAATTTCAGAAGAGCAGGATGACACTGGATATAAGGTGAGTTTAATATATTTTCTTTTACGTTAACTGTGGCCAAATTAACGGGGGACAGAATACATTAATGTTATAAAGAAATATATTTATTAGCATTACAGTGTTCCTTTAAAGATAAAAATGGTCTGACATATTTTATCTTGATTTCAAGTCAACAAAAGCTGCAATTTCAGTTCAGGTAGAAAGACTTCAAATATCTGCTGAATACATCTAAATAATATACTTGCACACACCAAAATGCTCATAGCAATAAAGGGATACATTATGCATTCATAGAAGTTAAAATTACTTTTTTTATTCTTTATTTACTATCTGCTTGTCTCTCTCTCTCTCTATCTCTTTACAGTTTTGATCTCTAAACTCTTAGCTTATGAGGTACAGATGGACAAGATTGTTAGATGTAACAATCAAGGATAATCTTTTAAAGTCTGTTGTGACTGCCACAGAACATTAATCAGCTTGGAAACGTTTTAGTCATGGTATTTTTGTATTGAATTATATTTTTGTTATCTTAAATGTAATAAAATCATTTGTAATATGTGGATGATAACTAAAGTTTATTTGAAATGGAAATCAGTTAGAGGACTCTGTGTTACTGGAAGATATATTGGAAATGTATATACAAAGACACACAAGTGAAAGTAATTTAAACAAACACTCCCAACACCACAACCACTACATCTCCATAACTGCCATAACCACTACTGTTTATTGGTGCCCGCCCTGAGTAATTTGTCAAATTGTTCAGGTTTCCTTTGGTTTTATGGATATGATGGCATTAGGGTCACCCTCACATAGTAATGGGTCATTTCAAGGAAAGGAGCATTTAAATGGTATGTGGTCTGGTCCAGTAGCTCTTTCTGTTTCCCCAGTTGGACCTAACTGCAGATCTCGTAACAGGTCTGGTCTGGTAGCTATTTCTGTTTCCCCAGTTGGACCTAACTGCAGATCTCCATCGTAACAGGACTCTTACTGGACTGCATTGCGGATCCCCCTGACAGTCAACTGGCATTGCTATGAAGGTGTTATGCCAGAGCATTTCATCTAAGCACACAAAATACTACTGATGAGTGCAAGAGGAGCAAGTCGGAAACCTTTTGCAGCT